CCTTTCCAGCGCGCGGAAACCGGCGCTCGAGGGTCCAGCGCGAAGGGAGACGCGCAGCGCCAGGAGCGAGGCGCAGGTTCTTCCGAGGCGCCTGCGCAGTAGCGACCCCACCACCGCCGCCGCCGCCGCCGCCGCCGGCCGAGGAGGCGGCCACCACCTCCGGGAATCCGCGCGGCCGGGGGTGCTGCGCAGTGCGGGCCGCTGTCCGGCCGGGGCGCGACAGGGGAACAGGCTTGGAGCTGTTGGCGCAGCGGGCGAGGGAGTCTGAGTCCTGCCCTCCGATTGGATGCCGGAGCCGCCGTCAGTGTAACCCCCTTTCCGATTGGTTAGACTCCGGTACCACCTGCGACAGCTGCTCTGGTGGAGTGGGACGGGACCCAGGAGCGGAAGTGTGTTCCTCTTGGCCGCTAGGGCTCTTTTGTACCATCGTCGGGCTGCGTGCCCTTCAGAGGACCTGAAACGAAGGGAGCCCTGGCCATGGCCAAGGCCACGCCTAATGCCACTCCCACTTTGCCCCTAGGAAACCCTGGGGCTTAGGTGTCCCCAGGAAAAAAACGACTTGGGCTGCACCAGGGCCTAGGACAAATCTAAAGCAGCATCAGCCAGTCCCGGTGAGCGGAGATAAATACAATGTAAGTGCTACCATAGCAATATCTATCTTAATATACAAGTGAGCACATTTACAGGAAGTTGAATAGTAGGCAGTTTACCAGTCAAGTTACAGGAAATGCAGAAACATAGTCCTTGCAGTAGGGAATTAGTCATCGATACCAGCGAAGAAATGGGCACTTCTTTAGACAGAGGCATCATGAGGGATTGTGCTCATCCCTGCAATTGGAAGCTCAAACAGTCCATGTAACTTGAGGCTTACTAGAAGAAACAGATATTACCAAGCAGAAGTGAGAAGGCTAAAAAGGACTAATTCAAATGTAACCCTGATATTTTGGGGGACTAGCAATTGGAATCCATGCCAGCAAGCTAACCTATGATTAAGTCATTACCTCCTTCCCAGAAATTGGTCTTGCAGAACCTGTTACAGAGGCCATAAAACTGTGAACAGCTCACTGCCCCTGGAGGGAGGGTTATTAACGCTGGTGTCAGGCCAAACCATCAGATATGGCCTGGAGACCCCCAACACCTGAGGTTCTTCTTGCAAAGCCCACCGGAAGCATAATCCATATTTGCGTGACAAAGACCACAGGGAGATATAAAATGAAGGCCCCTGCATGTTTTGGTACTCAGATTTGGATAGCTATTTCCTGAGTCCGCTAGCTTAATTAAACAGTGTCCCTCCACTTCTTTAAAGCGTCGCTTGGTTTTCTTTGGTCTTCTGCAACAGAAGTACCGTAGATTTATTTAACACTTGGGTTACCCAGGCATGGTTGGCAAAGAGCAGATAGGATCTTTTGTTGCTGCAGTGCCCAACACAGAAACTGGCATAGAAAAAGTGCTTACTAAATGATTGTTGAATTTAATGGAACAGTTTAAGGCAGTGATGGCGAACCTTTTGAGCTCGGCGTGTCAGCATTTTGAAAAACCCGAACTTAACTCTGGTGCCGTGTCACATATAGAAATTTTTTGATATTTGCAACCATAGTAAAACAAAGATTTATATTTTTGATATTTATTTTATATATTTAAATGTCATTTAACAAAGAAAAATCAACCAAAAAAATGAGTTCGCGTGTCACCTCTGACACGTGTGTCATAGGTTCGCCATCACTGGTTTAAGGGGCTCTGCCTTCTAGTATTGAAAATCATTTATCCCATGTGATCAGACCTGGCCCTAAGCGGATCTTCCTGGGGCTAGCTGGTAGTGTGTGGGTTCTTGACTTTGTACAGAAAAGATTTCACATTAGTCCAGGTGACTATGAGGGTGGGTACCTTTATTAAAGCTGGGACAGTGAAACAAAGAAGGGCTTAGCAGAGAAGAAGCAGCAGTATAGCTTAGGCTGGGCTGCTTTGGCTCACTGGGAAGTCAGAGTAAAAGGGGCCTTGCAAACGGGTTTAGGGGGTTAGCCCGGGACAGGCTGCTGCTACCCATTGCTCCCTTGGTTGCAAGTCTTGTGGGGGTTCCTTAGAGTTTAGGACAGGGGTCCTCAAACTACGGCCCGCGGGCCACATGCAAATACAAATATTGTATTTGTTCCCATTTTGTTTTTTTTTTTTACTTCAAAATAAGATATATGCAGTGTGCATAGGAATTTGTTCATAGCTTTTTTTTAAACTATAGTCCGGCCCTCCAACGGTCTGAGGGACAGTGAACTGGCCCCCTGTTTAAAAAGTTTGAGGACCTCTGGTTTAGGAGATGCATGCCTGTGGGGGAAGAAGAGAGGGAAGGGGAAGGTGCAGGCATGCTCTCCAGAGGAAGAGGGAGTGCTGGGTCCTTTGTCTTGAGGGTTTTTATCTCTCTCTTGCAGGCAGGAATCTTAGGGGAAGTTTCATGGAGTGTTTCAGCAGAATATTCATCAGTTTTTCAAGTGTGCTCTTTCACGGTCCTGGTCTCTGCTGATTGGTTAGCACCAGGGAAGGATATCATGACTCAAGGCAGCTAGTCCTGAGGCTGCCATGGCATCACTTACCTGGTTTTGCTGCTTTTCTGGGCCTGGAGTTGAAATACAATGGAGGTCCAGACATATCTTTAGGGAGGAAAGGTCAGGGGGGTCCAAACCACATGATCAGTGATATGCTAGGGGAGGAGGGGCAAGGTCCTTGTTTGCCTGTTGCCAAGACTTTACAGTTTGGTGACCTTCTGTACCTGGCCCATTGTCCTTGCTGTGCTCATGTCTGTCTGACTGCCTACCATACCTGGATTATTAACCTGCAATAGTGGACCTTAGAAATTGTGGGGGTCCTCCTGTCACCTAATCACTCCTTTCTCCCAGCGCTAAGCAATCACTAAGTTCTGTTGTTTCATGCTCCTCAATGTTTCTCAAATTCATTCATTTCTCTCAATGCTTTAGTTGATTCATTGACTTTCTTGCTTAGATGGCTGGAATAGCCACCAACCTGTTCTTCCTTGTCCTTAGGATCTTTTAGCCCTGATATTCTTCCAAATGGTGCCAGATTCTCTAAAATCTTCAGCCTAAACAGCCACTCTATTTCCAGTTCACCTACATCATCATAGCTAGTCCAAACCTTGCACTGGCATGACTCCAGGCCTTTCCATGTGTTCTCTACTTTCTCTGGATTGATCTGCCTGTTATTCTTTAACTAATGAGTGGCTGTTTAGCTTTAAAGACACTAATAAAAAATTTCCTCTTCAGTAAAATCTTTCTCAGCAACCCCAGGCAAAGCTAGTCATTTCATCCTCTCTGTTTCCATTTAAATTGGTACATAGCTCCCACCTTTGTACTTAACATGTTGTGCTGGAATTATATGTTTAAGGATCTGACTTTCTCAATCACACAAGTAATGACTCCAGAACCAGACTCAAATGGGAATGGGGAAACCTGGAACAAAGGATTTTAGAAATTTTGCACTCTTCCTTGTGAAAGGAATTTTAGGGATAAAATAGGCAGGTTTAGGAAGTTTTAAGAATAAAGAGGGTCTATGGGGGAGGAATGTATAGGTGAGGGCTTGGAGCCATCAGATCGCATGCATTCACAGAGAATAAAAAAGGTGCCACAGGATAAGGGGAGATGAAGACATACACTAATGGAAGATAAGTAAAAGCCACAGAGTATATGGGGGAAAAGGAAACCAACTTTCACAGGTGACAGAGAAATGTCTACACATGGCAGAAAGAGGAAAACAGATTTTCACAGGAGATAGAGAAATGTTACAAGAGAAGGGGGAAGGAAAGCGGTGGGGGGGGGGGTGTGAGGGAGGGCTGAGCTCATGTGGGTTTGAGCTCTGAAGCTGATATTCTGCAAAAAGAGTGACCAATTAGAAGAGCATAGGATCATGAAGTGGAGAAGGGGTCCAATTAGAAGGGGGCATGAAGAGACAAGGAACTACAGCATTTATAAACCTTAGCAAAAAAGAGCTTAGTGGGTTACCCCCTTGGGACTCCCTCCCTACATGGGAATTTGTATTTGCTTCCAATAAATTTCCACCCTTTTCACCTATCACCTTTTGTTAGTGACTTCATTCTTCAAATCCATCTGCACAAGGACCCAGGAAAGAAATCACCCTTGCATCCTGCTCAGGAAAACAACCCAAATCACTTGGACCCCTTTTTGGAGCCTGACTGTTTACAGTCCCCACCCACCTCTTCACCTCATCCAAACTCCCTTCCCTTGATCTATAAGACTGAATTTTGCGCTCTCATAATAAGATGGATTTGAGAACTAATTCTCTCATATTCTTGAGCTAGTCTGGCACAAGGAACCTTGTACCTGTAACAGGCTGAGTTCTAGGGAAAATTACATATTGTCTAATTTAGTGAAGAAAATATTCGGGCACTTGGGGCACGCACCTGTTTCACTGGGTGCATGATGGCTTAAGGAGTAGACAGGATTGACTGCCGTATTGATCAGACGTGTAGTGGAGACAGCAGCTGGATGGGCTTCAGGAGAGAAAGG